CAAAATAAGTTATAAAAATATTAATTTTCTTATGAAATATTCTAAGAAACTATTAATAGTTGTTAATATTTAATATTAAAGTGAAAATTAATTTTTATCCACTACATTTATCTTAAATTAATGAGGGCATATTGCTGCTGTTGTCACACCCGCCCCGGAAATCGAACCAGGTTTTACGTACCAATGCTCTGACCACTAGGCTCCTGGGTTCGATTCCCGGCGAGGGTGTGACAGCAACAATAATTTTGCTTTTTTTGCAATGAATAAAAATTAAATTAATTTTCACATTAATATTGAATATTTATTGTGCCACTAAATATGGGCTGGGTACCTGGTTTGGATGTGATAAGTAGTGGATCCTGCACTTTTTTTCGATCCGGCCGGCAACCGGATAATGATACCTTGTAGACGTTTAGTGTTTATAAACATTATAGGCTCATTTCAATGGTTTCAATTCAACCTTCTCATTGAAAATTCGCCAACCAAGAATTACAATTTCATTTGTTTAGTGTTTAAATGATTTTTTGAACGGGCGGTAATGTGGTTTAGGGCGTTGGTGAGGCTGGTATTTGGGGAAAGTTCGCCAGAACGAAGACATAAACTGTTAATCATAGTGGTTTTGCCGAGCACCCGGCGCAGCTAGTGCCGAGTTCCCTGTTATCCGATACCCAGTGATATTACTGTCAGGTACATCTCTAGTTCACATTTCTTTTGCCGCTTGGAGCGAAGAGAGTAGAATAGAATTGCAATTAACTACGTAGCTATGAAGCCATGCCAAACTATTAAAAGAATTTACTGAATCAGTTCAGTAGTTCCAGAGATCGTCCAGAAGTCTTATGTTTTGTGACCAAAACCTCCACCTCTTTTGTTTAGACCCTGTTGTAAATTGTCATGTACCTCGCTTTCTATTTCATCGTCTCTCTCTACATCTTATCTATCTGTCCTTGTTTTCTCCTTATTATGACTTTTCTGTACTTTCGACCACTATTTGCCTATCCTTCTCTTGCCGGTTACTAATACTTCCGTGCTGTCTTTCTCTATCTCACCACCTTTTTACCCTTAAGTAGCATGCCATCAAGGACCGAGTGGGATGGCTTAGAGGTTTAGACCATAGCTTAGCATTCGGGAGGACGCCGGTTCGATTCCGGGTCCGTCTGTCTTGGTTCAAGTTTTTCTGTGGTTTCCTTAGATCACTTAAGCAAATGCTGAGGCAGTAATATTCACAGATAATCTTACATTCTCTTCTGTTTTCATTTCGTCCGTCTCAACTTTCTCACCCGAACCGCCACTCACCCATTCCCACGATTCCTGAAAGGAGACTGAAGAGGGCCTTCCGCCCTACCTTCCGGCGTAGCCCGGAGGGACTGCCCACCCACCAGCATTACTGGCTGGTGGAATGAAACACCCAAAAGTTTTTTTTTTCACTATCAAGGAGAGTACGAAAGTTGCTGTCAAGCCGCACGTTCCGATTTTTCACCGTTTCATTCACCGTTCTTTTTTTCGCCGTGTAGTTTCACCAAGTGTACGCCGATTGAAGGCGTTGTATATATTGCATATATATCAATAGTTTCTACAAAATTTACAGTGTTTTTCAATCAACAATAGAAACCTACAACCCTTTAATTAGGATTGTTAGGAAGTTTCTTGCGATAAACACGCCGCCGATCCAGATTCACCGAATCGTATGAAATAGACCCCATGTTTATTATAGAAAATTATTAATAAGTGGCATACTTATTCCGTTCCATGTTTTTATTCGTAAGTTTTGAGAATTTCCATTCTTAACGAATCATTTTTACAATTGAAACATGGAGTTTTGTATGTGCATATAAATTTGGATAATAAAGACAATATATTTCCTGAATTGTCCAATGCACTAGCGACTTCTACGCCCAAATATCGTCAGACGCAGTCAGCGGTCCTTATTCTTATTCTTAACGATTACTCAGCGATAATTCAAGGAACGAAACTGCGCTAGACATCGATGCCCCATTATATTATGCGCCCTGAAACGTGCAGATCTGGTGTATGGAAGTGTTTTGAGTCATGAATAGAAATGCTTACAAAAGGCCATGTCTGTCGTGAGTGCAGTTAAAATAAAAGGCAAAAGCTAATTCCGAATACCTAGGCTGAGTGGGTGAACGGCCGATAAGTTAGGTGAGATGCCCGCGTGTCAGAACCGCGCACGTGCACCTACTTTTACAACGTAAACAAACATACAAACACATATGTAGATACATAGGTGTGCACTAAATAATTATTTATTTAAAACGTATAATTAGGCCCGTATTTCGTCAAATAAGCACTGCGCTTTCTAATAAGTAATCTGTTTTATGTATTAAGACGTCTTCCCTGTAGTGGATATCAGACAGGAAACACGAGTAGTGCTGGAGAGGAAACAATGTTTCAAAAGGCGTATGCTTATTGTAAATCAGCAACACTTGGTTGTGGCTGTAGTAGTTGCTATCAAGGAATTTAAAGCAACAGAAATGGTCAAAACATTGGTATAGTAATTTGTATTTATTTACATTAATTATTAAAGAACATAAAAACACTATTAAATTATTACTAAACTTAGGTTATGAATTATTCTATTTATTTACACTAGTGTTGATATATCACTATTCACTGCGCTATTTATTTCACTGCTATCACTGTGTGTTACATTAATAATGTAGTTAATACTTATTTGAATTGATGAACTTTTCAAATATTGTTTACTCCTACATAATGCAGAAAAATAAACGCAAAATAAGTTATAAAAATATTAATTTTCTTATGAAATATTCTANTATTACTAAACTTAGGTTATGAATTATTCTATTTATTTACACTAGTGTTGATATATCACTATTCACTGCGCTATTTATTTCACTGCTATCACTGTTAATTTATTTCTCCTTATCTCGGCGATCGTCTCTTTTAAATACTCTTTTGTTAACTTTCTGGAACCTTCTGGAAACTTCCGGATAGTTAATTTTAGTTTTAGTTAATATTCCTCAAAATGTGGTATTATTTACATACAAACTATCGGAGACGACTACGGAAATGAAACATAAGCGAAACAAAAAGGATTGCTAGTTCAGAAATGTAATATCGATAAAAAATTCAGGAGAATTTGTTTAAATTGTCATCACAAAAAAGTTCCGAAAAATCATATCGTTTCAGGTGCTTAAAAGAGTTAGGAGACAGCATTAAAAAAAGACAATCTAACAGTAATTTTTAATTAATTTTAACTAACTTTAATTTACTCTAATTTTTTTAATATTTTTCTCTCAGTGTAACCGCCGAACGCCATTAATTTTGCCGTCCCTTAATTTTCCGCTGCGGACATTTGCTCGCCTTGCCAACCCCCCCACCCTTAAATCGAATTCTGCCATTAAACAATAGAGTAAACGATGCGTCGTAAATAATAATAAATTTCGAACATAAATGTTTATTTTCAAAATTATTTCGCATTAAATTTGAATATAGTGTACAATAATGCACGTGTGGTCTCTGATATAAACTAGAAAATATCCTGCCTATTTATGGTAAGCTTCTTCGCCGCCTTCTTCTCCGTCTGCCTTTATTGATGGACCCAAGTTGCAGTAAAACTGGATGCGTCGTTAATGCAGCAGCTGCCCCGAGTAAAGCAACTCCAGCCAGAGGGATAAGAAATCCTTTCAAGGCTAACAACTGAAATTGAGTTTATAATGCATTAGAAAAGAACATTGTCCTTTTTTATTCCGTCTATGCGCGGTAATGGACTCTAAAAATAAGCGCAAATAATGGCGATACATATAAGAGAAAAGAATTCGGACCAAGATAGGAACGGAACCAATTAGTTTAATACATAGAAACTCAGCAGTGCTTTCTACTTTCGCTTTAACAACTTCGCTCTTGGTAGTTCAAATAACATTATTAATTCAGTGGTCTGACTAATAAAAACGAAGTACAAACATAGTTACGCTAGGAAGAGTCTTATATACACTGGCTAAGTTGATCGTGAAAAAAATATTACTGGAAAAGTAAATTGGGGTTGAAATTACTAAGTACTACCTAACTATGCTATGTTTATTACGACTGTTGTGGCTTGTTTTCAGTGTACATACCGTATTTCAAATTATCTCTATAGACTTCCAATGCATTCCAAATTAAAAAAGGAATAAGTGCGAGCTACTATTGCTAATTGCTACCGAAGCTTAGCCGATTTAAATCGGCAATTTTAGATCGCAATGTAGTTATATGTTTAGCATTTCTTTTAGTAACTTGACATATACCTACACTCTCATCTTTCCTGTGACCTCCAACCCTTAATTTTCACTTAAACAACCATCCTAATACTATCCTCAGTTCCAACCTCAAACCCTCACATCCAACCCCCATCCCCATTCTTGCTATCAATTCTTAAACGAGACATTTTCGGAATTAAAGACTACTTAACATATTGTGCACACTATTCATGATAATTAGTGATAAGCAACATTAGTCTTGATCTTGATGTCTTGTTTTTGGACTAGCAAGATTAAAAGACCAAAACTGAACGAACAAGACTAATTATAATACTAAAACCAAAACCAAGACCAAATACGCAAGACTAAACGAAAAGTTATTACTTTTGGTGAATTTATGAGTTATTTGGAGCAACTTTAGTATATTATTTTCTTGGGACAAAATATGTTTTGTATTTTAAATTTTCAGTTTGCTTTGTTTGAATAAAGGGATCTACAAGAATGTCCTCGGATAACAGATGATTGAAATAATAAGACAAACTAGTCTTTTTTCGATATTTTTACTACTTTCATGTAGCTTCTACTATTTTTTTCGCTAAAAGGTCAATCTGTGCGTAGGAGGGTAGGTTCTCGAGTTTTCATAATTCACACATTATTTCCTTTAAAAGTCATGACGAGCTCGCATGTGTGACATATCAGCATTAAAGACAATTATTGTGTCGCTAAATAGAAAAAATTGTGACCAAGACCGAAACTGTATTAGCAAGTTCAAGACCAAAACTAGAAGTGTTTGAGGTAGACCAAGACCAATGCTTTCTTTTTCAATTTCTTTATGTGTCCATTTACTCCATTATTTTTTTGCAGTACGAATCCTAGGTAGTTGAAATCTGTAACTTCTTGGATTATTTTATCTTTTCACTGGAATTCTAATTCTTTCTTCCTCTTGAATTTCCCTTTAAAATTTTTGATTTATCTGCATTTAATTTCTGCCCTATCTTTTTTATATGTATTTACTGAATTTTTTTCAGCCGTTTTTCGTAGTTCACTAATACCTAATAACTATGTCATCTGCACATGAAAATGATCAGAATTGTTTTACTTATTACTATTCCCCCTTGCTGTTCTACACATAATTTGTTTTCTAAATCTCTAATTGATACTTAAAAGTGCGGCAATCTTGTCTTATTTAATGTTTCATTACAATATTTCTTTTTATTTTTCCTTGTTGAATTTTATCTGAAAGTAAGTCTCGTCGTACGTTTCGCTTATCTCCTCTTAATTTGTTGTCTATTTCTAGTTTTTCTAAGGTTTTCCATACCAGATGTCTCATATCCGCAAAAAAGAGGAATATTTCAGCGTTTTCTTTCTTTATTTCGGCTTCACAGGCTGTTTTGGTTATGTAGGTTATGTCAATAGTTCCTTTGTTTTTTCTGTATCCCATCTGTGTTTCTCCTAGTACCTTTTTGACTTCTTATTCTTTGTCAAGCCTTTTTCTAAGTATTTCAGCGTAGATTTTGTAACTGGCGCTCATGTGTGTTCCTCTTTTCTACCATATTTCTGTCTCATTTCTTGTAAATTGAATACACTATTCCTGTTTTTCCATTTTTACGGAAGTTTAAAATAAATTATAAAGAGGTAAGTTAATTATAGGTTAAAATTCTTGACTCCAAGATATCACGTTGAAATTTTCAACAAGAAGAAACGCGTCGCACCGTAGTAATTTTTTCAAGGAGAGGAATGAATGTAAATTAAAGTTCGGAGATGGTGTTGGTGGTTGGGTTTGAAGAAAAAAATCAGAAGTCGCGGCACAGAAAGATTTATTTGTGTAATAATGACTGAAGGGATACAAAGGATGCTGGAGTGAGGGAATAACGGTTTCGCATTTTCGATAAGGCCCTTTGGCATCGAACAGGATTTGCATTATGCAGTCACTGTGCGTATAGAGTAGGCTGAAAGCGGGAAATAATTGCATTTTCTGGTGACATTCACCACTGCTTTCGATCACTAAATCATTTTAATTGTCATTCGGGCTGATACATGTGTGTACGCACAAACATTTTACAGATATGTCGTATTTTTCGTGGATATTACCATGAAATATGTTTCACCACTCACCGTGAAAAACGTTGCAGTCTATTGATCAATGACACAAATGCGATAGTTAAAACCTCTCCCTGTAGTATGCATTAAAATAAATAGAATATTGTAAAAAACGACAATTGGTAATTGGTTTTAGATGTCCACAATTGTTTTTTTTTTTAAGAGATATTACCCAACAGACAGAAAACAGCCATTAAATGAAGTAAGAGATTCTCTAGCTTCAAAAAGTTTTATGCAATGTATCCCTCCTGCTATTTTCGAGCAATATACAGGGTGTAACAGAAATAAATACTGAGCTTTGGAGGGTATAAATTAGATGCAATAAACAATAGCACGGTGAGTTCAACACTAATCGAACGTCTCTGTTAGACATAAACAATTTAGTACTACTACATAATGCTTAAACGAACAATTAATAAATTAAATAAGTAGATTATAGGCAACACTATGTAAATGTAATAACATGAAAGAAAGAGAAAATGTAAGGTAAATGAGCATCATCATCATGGATAAGTGTAATTCTATTAAGGCAAATTTCCACAACATGATTGAGATATTACCAAGGCGTTTTTATTGTTTAAGTAAACATACCAAACAAATCAAATAAGTCTCCAAAAATTTCGCACCACACATTTATCGAAAACAGTTCTTTAAATTGCGAAGGAAGTAGGACATATGAATTTGCATTGCACCAATAGTGATTATTGTGAAAAAATTTCGTCCCGTGTGAAGCAATAGGTTATGCAGCAGTTTTCCTTCGAAACCACTGACACAAATCCACTCACGGCTGAAAATCAATTTCAAGCAAGGCTTGCACTCGCTGCAAATGATAAGGTTGCAGTAACTGTTCTTTTAAAATTAAAGTCAACGTACTCTGCTCTTTTGTACTATTTTGGGGATTGCCTTCTTTGAAATCGAAGACTTTGACTTTACAGCTGCCATTGCCTCATACAAGGTTTAAACAGTAAAAGAATAATATGTTACTAGAGTTTGGTTGTTAACACCCTGAATCACGCTTAATCTATTCTGATAAAACTGATACATGAACAAAAATATCTATCCAAAATAAATACTACATTGATGCTAATATTTACTAGCTGATTGAGTGCAGCGATGCAGGCCGTATTTCTCTACCAGGGCCGAAATTGAATTTGCATGTACTTTAACTACGTTTTTCTTGAAAACAATTAACTTTCGGACATACAAATATCTACATAATTTTAATGTTTTATGGTTCTCTATTACCTCCCACAAGTTCGGCACTTATTTCTGTTATATAGCTTTTAAAATCCTTGATTTACATGCAGGAAATGAAGAATTTTTTCATAGGTTCGTTAGACAATACTTACAACTTCCATATTAGGCATATTTAATTGGCTTGAATGTAATACATAAAGTATAAAACTATTTTGTTTTCACCGCCTATAATAATCAATATTTTTTACTTTTTCCAACTGATATTAAAATTTAGACATATTTTCTATTATTCCTTTACAATATCAAAAACTGTACCAATCTAAATCTTTAAAGATGTGTATCACTTACTGTTTTGTATGTATAGGGACTATTTAAAAGGTGACTGTAACTGTTATAACCTCCATAACTTTTATGATCGGGTATGTACGGAACGATTGGGTATTTCTCTTCGTATGGGGAAAGATATTCCTTATGATAATCAGGTCCATAATCAACAGGGGGTCTATGGTAATATCCATCAGAAGACGGTGGAATGTATGCGTAATCTCCACCACCTTAAAAACCAAAATTTGACTTAAAAAAACACAAAATATTTAATTCCTAAGTAGGTTTTCATGTTGCCGACGTTCCGTCGTCGATCACGCTGCATACAGGGCGATTTTTCTGTTTTAGATCATTACTTTATATAGGAAGAGCCCTACTGATCAAAAACGAAACGTCGACAGTAAACAAATTGGTGATCTTTACTTCACTATTAGTAAGTCTACGAAAGTCTAGAACAGTTTTTTATTTGACAAAGTTTCCTTTGCTTATCGAGTCTTCTTCAGGTTTCTTAAAAAACGATGTTTACATTTTAAAACCGTGAAGAAGAAAGAAATTAAAAATAGTATTTCATATTGTATTTATTTTTGTGACTTTACGTTTCCTATAATAATTATTAATAATATTAACTTTATTAACGTGATAAACAGAGAAATAACAAAGAAAACCATTATTATCAAATGTGTGGATCTTACTGCTTATGAAGTATATTTTTTTAAGAAAATTCTGTTTCACTTTATAGATATAAAAATGTATGTTACTAAAATATCAGCGATATTATTTTAAATAATTGACAGAATATTTCAAATAAATATATTGAAAGAAAAAAAGTAAACGTTTAAAATAAATTGATCTCGTCGTTGGCTTATTTGCATTTCTAAAGATTCTTTTCACATTTATCATACCTGAGGGATTAAAAATGTGATGATTCCTCTTACTATCTGAAAAAAGACTTCTCTTTTTCGTTTCCGACGACGATTTCTGTTGGTCGTCTCCATTATTTACCTCATTTGTCAGTATCACGAGACCATTTTGTGTGCTGTCATTTTTATGAGCCTACGATTTTTCTTTATTTTTTAAACCGAAATCACTAGCGATGAAAATTAACGATAGCCACTTACTCTTCCCTTTTCAACAACGTTAGTAATGGACTTCACTTGTTCTGAATTGTAAATGATCACAATCACAAACATATAGAAGTATACAATAACACTCCAAGTAGACCACATACTCCTAGAAATCTTTAATGTAGATGTAGGAACATATTTTGTCTCTCTGTAAACTTAAGAAATGTTTCGTTTCGATGAAGATCCACTTTTATATGCGGCCTGAATTCAACTCAACTTATGACAATCACATTGTGTTGACGTTGTATGTCTACATGCAATTTTTTATAGTAGTCGCTAGAAATTGGTTTTTCATTGTTGAAAATGTTACAGACCGGAAAAAAAGATGTGAAGCGATGACATATTATTACTGTGAGTGTTATTTCATTAAAAAAGTGAAAATATTTGCTACTTCTTTCGGAACAATCAAGCGAGTGTAAAAGAAAATGTCGAACTTATGACGAAAGTAACTAAATTTTTTTTATGAAAAATAGGATCATTAGATGAATTTAATTATTCATATCTTTTAGTTCTGTATTCATTAAATTACTTAGATATTTCACTTAAATGTTATAAATTATATAAAAATGCCTGTTTTATGTTGTTTTCTAAATGCGTAAATTGATAATTTCTTAAATTGACATATATATAGCTTACTCATTAAAAGCATTAATTAAATGCAAAATATCATACATATATTAATATTATACGTATATCGCATGTATATGCGAATTAAAAATGCGAAAACTACTAGAGAGTGCTTGTAATAGTAATAGCTGCTCAGTATTTAGGAAAGCATATTTTTTCCTTTTTACAATTACTGACGTATGTTTCTTTCTTACAGAAAATGTCTACATTTATTCAGTTCAGAAGATCTAGACGATCATCTACAACCAGCGTTTACATGCAGGTAAATCATTTATTAAGATAGTCTAAACATCAATATCAATAAATACCAAAAATATTTTTCCAATTTCATAACTTTGTGTGGCGGGGATTTTACTACATAATGAGTTGTGAATTTACTGGCTGAGCTGTAACTCCTCTAGAGAATTTTTGAGGTTCAATAAATGTTTATTTGTAATTTTACCCACAACTGAGGTTACTTGTAACTGTTTTTCTTGGAGAAACTTATTTAAAAGAGGAAAACATTCGCAACTTTCTTGTTCAACACATTCAATCTAGAAACCAAGTTAGTTTTTAGGGTTCCGTACGTCCGAATGAAAAACGGAACCATTATAGGATCACGCGTGTGTCTGACTGTCGGTCTGTCACAGTCAATTTGTTCCGAATCTACTGGACCGATTAAGTTGTACACGTATGAATTTCTGTGACCCAAACACGGACGTATAACGTAAATAAATTAATTTTTTGCAAAGTGTATCGTGTTGTAAGGGCCTCAAATAAATTTATTTAAAGTTATTTAAGAAAACAGATGAAAACTTCCCCATACCCGCCTTATCTCCGAAACTACTGAACCTAAAATTTACATTTGCAGCTTTAATGTATGGGAGAACATGTTTTTTTTCAACTACAGTGTTAAGTTGGTTCTTGGATTAGGGTTCCGTACATCCGAATGATAAACGGAACCCATATAGAATCACCGTGTGTCTGTCTGTCAGTTTTTTATACAAGATATTTTGTCTTTCACTGTAAAGGTAGTTGTGGTTCTTCACTCCAAGGACCTATTTATTACTTTAAGTTTATCGAATATATCGGCCAAATAAGCCAAATTCACTATCAATTAAACATAATTAACCCTCTGAGTACTAGAAAAAATATTTTTTTGCGCTCAAAAAATGAATATTACTCAATAACTCAATAATATAAATTTAAAAGCTCGGGCGTCACTTTGCCAATGCGAAGAATCAAAGATAATTGCTCCGGGGAAAACTCAGCTCACTCAAAAAAATTAACACAAAGACAATTTGAGGCAAAAACAAAGAAATACCTCGAAACCGTAGGGTTTTCAAAAAGAGGAAAACTTAAGGGAAGGACTTATTAAGGCTGGTTTGGCTGCTGTCAAAACAAGTTAATGTCTTAGTTGGTACTCTGTAACAGGAAGAAACCATCAACTATGGAACTTTAATCTATAAGACTGGTCCAACAATACAATAGACAGGCCTTTCCAATGGTAAATGATGTTGAGCAGACTACAAAAAAATCCTCTCTTTACCTTAGAAGTCCCCTATTAGCAAAACCTCTTCCAGCCTCAATTAATTTTGTTCACACAAAAATTACGCAATTACGTAATAAAAGAAAACAATTATAATATTTGGTAATTAAACCAAATATACCTAAATATCAAAAGGTACAAAATGTATAGTAAATATTACCTTACAAAATGTAAGAAGTAATTAGAAAATATGTATAAGTTTAAAACTCTCTGTTATAAGGACCATTTTCTTACTGTTATCGACCCTAGTCCTTTTCTATATGGGAATAAAATCGTAGATTAAAGCAGAGTTTCAATAACTTTATTAAAAATCTGAGAAGTACCTATCTATAAAAGAAGACGTAAACATTACGTTGCATTAATTATTGCCGGAATAAATAATACTTTTGAAGCGTTTTTGGACTTTTAAAGGAAATATTGCTGCTTCTAGAAACTTTTACCCGTGATATTAGAAAGGCATCTCAGTTTTAATTTTGTTTGTTCGAACTCAAACTTTCGTAAGGAGTTATGAATACGATGGTCTACCTAAGTTCGCTCAACCTTCCGTCAAATAACCTCTTGATTTATAGTCTCATGAAAGGAGTTTTGAAGGATTACGTATGTATATGTGCGTGTTTAATGTATATGACGGCACAGGAAATGAAAAGGAATGATGGAATGCTTATTCAAATCGCAGTTTCTTCCGAAACTCTTCTGAGTTTTCGGAATTCAAATATGCCGTACGTTTTATTAATCTTCAATTTCGACATCCGAGCATTTTAATAATATGTTCTCTTGCGATTTTCCGTCTTAATAAGTAAACAACTTTCAGATTCTCGTAGACAGGAAGAGATGAATATTTAAAATAGAAATAGGTAGTTTCTTTTTGTGGCGAACTGATCAATTTAAATAATAAAGTCAGAAAAAAGTAAATTCTTTGCGAATTCTGTTGGTATATAGATGTTTCTTATGAATCGGGGAACTCCCATGAAGATTTGACCACGTACGTAAAAACAAAATTAGTAGAAATGTTACCACAAGAAGGTGTAAAACTTGTAAGGAAAAGTCACAGGTATACTTCGTTTAGTTTCTCTAGCGATGTGACCTTTAGCTTGACCGGCGCAAAGTAGAAAAGAACAGCACTAGGCCAGAAAAGGAAGGAGACAACTCTCGGCCAAACTCTCAACCGGTGAGGAGCGTATAATCCGTACAGTACTGCACGGAAAAATTGACCATTTTAACCACTAAAATTGCATTGCTCGAATGTGCTGTTATTAGTACCAATTACTACTGAAAATATCAACGAGATGTTTGTTTATATTTGAAGATATATTAAAGGTTTTAACGCTTGTTTGCGACACGCACTACTATTCATGATTGAACAATACCTTTGACAAGTACTGTACGAAAAAGTATGTTTAATGTACAAGAGTCTAGAATATAATGAGCTTTTTTCTCCCTACCTCCGATTTTGCTAGTGCGCATCCAAGACATTGGAAAGGGCACACCGCTAGAGAAAGTAAACAAAGTATAAGAATAACGAAAGCAAATTTAACTTTGGACAAAAACAAATCATTTTAAGCTTTAGTTATATTCCGTTTTTCGTAAAATTAATTTTGCATAACTACAGAGTGTAATTATACGTTCGTTTGGTGGGTAATTTTATAAATAAAACAGTCGAAAAAGGGTTAGTAAAGCTATATCAGGATATCACCCCCCCACTCATCAGTTTTGCAGTTCCTCGTTTCCTGTTTTGTATTGTTCTACAAACTCCAAATTTTTGAAATTGCGAGGGAGGTTTTAAACTAATGACCCCTCCTCCCTCTGAGTTATATGTCTTATTCTGTTTTACGTGCCTAATGTAAACTTTTTTATTCAGTTTCTTTATTTGAAAGTCCTCCGTTGTTTAAGTGTTACGGGAACCCCCCTTTATCACTTTAACGGAAACCTTCCAAGGAGCAGGGTTGCTCAACCCTCTAATGCTTTCTACGGAACAATGCTATTGTCTTTCATTCGCTCTGTGATATTACAATTTCCTTAATCTAATGAAAGCTTTACTAGAATGTTTTTCTATTAAAAATCAATAGAAATGTGGGGAAAATTAAACATAGTTATGTAGCATATGTATCTAAAAGTTAATATAGAAAACAATACTTCTACTCCTTGCAGGTAAAAAAGTAAATGATATTTACTTGAAGCTATATTTGCGTTGAGTATGCAACGGAAGTTGCGCGCGACACAACTAGCAATAATTCGACAATGTTCATAAGTCAGTAGCAATCTGTTCGCTTATTGGGGCAAGTTCGCACCCCATGCTGTATAGGGGAATAGGGATATAGAAAGATTATTTAAACGCTTAATCGAAAGCATTACCTAAATGAATACATAATTATTATTATTATGTATATAAGTACTAGCTAAATAAATTTGTAAATAGACAACAGATTTTTTAATAACGGATTAAATTCTTGGTCAGTAATTATTGAAATTTCAATCTTATATGATTTCATCTTTATGCTGTTGATATTCTACTTGAGTTAGCAGCAAACGTCAGTAGATGGCGATATACTGTCGTACCTGGATGTTATATGAATATGCTACATTGGTTTGGTTGGTGATTTATCAAGACTGGCTATGGCCTCCTGAGGAAATGAAAAAAGATTGAAATCGCGATTCACCTCTGGTATTTATTTGTACTATAATAAGACCCTTGTTTAAAATTTTAAATGCTCAGTATTTTATTCTCATAAAATAAAAATTGCAAAATTTCATACTTAATATTTTATTAAAAAAAACTAATAAAAATACATTGTGTAATAAGAATAAAAACTATAGTAGGATCAGTTAATCGAGACTCCAATAATTAATGAGGTTCGACCGTACCCCAATTAGCAGAAAATAACATTAAATGACGACATACTAGCGCAATGCACCATCTTTTAATTAAAAATACTATAATTGCAGAATCAAAATTGTTTTTAATAATGACTATGAGCGAAAATCC